GGAAGGTTGTCGTTTTAGAGGGAAGCATCGCCAGGAGAAGGCTTCCATGGCAAGCATATACAATGTTTAACAAGAGCTCTGCCTCGACTATCGTTCGTTCATTCGAACTTTTGAAAGTGCCAAGACCAACCCATTGAGAAGATGCAGCCTTGGAGTTGAAGTCTAAGTCGACAGATACTTGTCGTCCCCTCCTCCCGGGTATTAGGTCTTCAATCTTGGCCAGACTCGCACAGGGCCGAGCGGTGCAGAACCAGCACAAGCAAACAAATACCGCAGGGAGACTTCTAAATGTGCCGCCCCCAATGCGACGTCGATTAGCAGCAGCCCTCATCCTGGGTGAGCTGAGCTAACTTTTGGCCTAAGCAGCGGGATTTTCCATCGCCGGCGCAGAGACAACTCAGCTATGCAAGTCAAGCTGAGACTTTGTAGGAGAAGAAGCTCTAGATCCAGGGCTTTGGGTGTTGGGAGGATCCAACGTAGAGACAATTAACCTCATCATTGCATTCACATGATGCAAGGCGAGCGCCATGCCGCAAATCAGATCATCTCAAGAGCTCCGGAGGCGCGACCTTGGCGGGCCCCGGGGCTTCTCACTCTGTCTCCTACAGTACAGGCCGTCACATCACCCGTCATCGACCTCAAAAGCGGTGGGAAAAGCAGCACCGGTTGATTGACAGGGCGGCGGTCAGAGTCCACTCCGTTGATGGCACGTATCGCGCCGTGCCCTCCCGGTCCTTGACTGCTCATCGTCTACCTCACAATGCGACACTGTTGACAGCAGGCTGATCTCACACAAGAGCTGACAGCCAGGCGACGACGGGAGGTGCGTTCATCCTGTTCTCCATCCTCGCTGCCGTTGGCCTGGCCCGTGTCATCGTTGACAGAAAAGCAGAAGGTAGCAGGCGGGACGTCATGACAGCGTCAAGGGGGTTACAATGGCACCTCACTATCGTCGGTGTTTGGCAGAGTGGTTCCAGCTTCGCTGGCCCTGGCGGTGCGCGTGGGTGCTGCAGAACAAGATTCGCAACGTGGACCTTGATGAATGATGCGGTGTCGACTGTCGTCAAATTCCCACCAGGCTATAGATGCCTCGTGATATAGGAACAGGGCAAGGGCAGAGTATCGTCACAACGGCGCGAATCTCGAGAAGCACCGACCAGCCCAGTTGCAGTGAATAGTGAACGTTCCCTTCGGCGCCAACCGACAGGGGCTCGTCCGTCGCATCTTTGTTTGCTAATACCAAGTTATTTGTACGGATATCTCCAAAGCCTCCAGGGATACCGCTCCCCCGCACTCGGCTTGCCACGTTTGTCACGGATACAGTGTAGCCATCGTGAGCTTAGTCCGAGATAGACATTATTTGGCGTCGTGCCATACCCTTCCGATGACACCAACCCCCAGTATTCCAGGACCTCACCTCTCACTCCCTCTTTGCTATATGCCAGACCGAATATCTTTCCTGATCCCGGCCTCGCACAACTTGCTAGCCCTCCGCACCAGTGATCCAGACATCGACTTTGACAGCAAGCTACCTGCCACAACTCTGTTCCTCCGCTGCTCCCCTGATCCTTTGCGTTACACGGACGGAGAGGGGAGGCTGGTGGATTGTCGGCAGCAGCCCCTCCCCGCACAACCCGGCGCCGGTACACGGTTGCGGAATCTTTGACTCTACGGATGCTCACGAATCTGCGGATCTTGCTTCATGCCGCTTGCCCTCTGTGCCTCTCCTCTCACATGACAGATGATGGCGTAAGCAATAGCCTCTGTGCCACATTCTTGCGCCAGCCTCACCTGTGTCTTGGGCGGGAAACTGACAAACGCTCGGAGGGCAACATGGTTGATGCAGAGTCGAGCACAGAACACTCATGTTTGACGCATTGCTGACTGGCGCCGTTGAGACCCCTGCGAAACATCGTTGGGCCGTGCAGTACCAGCGTCAGGATTAACACAGCTTTCCTAGAATCCGTAGCTTCGATGCACCTGGTTCCTCCGGACTGTGTAACTTGATTATACAGATATGCCTCTCGCGAGTCGCAGGGTCCCTCAAAGGTCTATAGAGGTCCAGCCCTTCCAACTTCCAAGTTCCAGCCCGGAGCTTGCCTTTATTCTCCGACTAGGAGGATGAGCTTCAAGGGACTCAAACGCACGCCGCTTATACTCCTTGCTGCCCATGCGCGAGGCATATCTTTAGTGTAATTGTTAACTCCTCCAACGACATGCTGTCGGCTGTGGCTGAAATGGGGAACGTGGCGGGCGCAACTCCCCCATCCTCTGCTTCGTACCATATCCGGCAACGCGGTTTCGGGGCATCGTGGAACACGCCCGCTTCTTTCCTCGCTTTGGACGGTACATCCGGATACGGCAGCTATATCCAACTTTCGTCCATACTCTCCGGCGGGCAGAGGGCCCACGCCGCGGGGCAACGTAGCTCATGTGGGAGCCAACGGCCGACAGGGTAGGCTTACATGCAGCAAGCCCAACAAGGAAGAAAAAGGTTAGAAGCATAAGGCCAATATCGTCCGATGTTGCGAGATGTAGATGAGATCCCTCTCGAGTCACAATGTGTGAGAGAATGACAGGAAGTCGCCGCGGCGTAGTCATGGCCATGCAGCAAGAATCTTGCTTTCGGGACCTTTCAAGACAAGCCTCAAGCCTCCACGCGGTCTCGATCCTCGGCGGCCCTATCTGATTGCAGGTAGCTTAATGGCGAGGTACCATCGACGCCCTGGTGGACAGGTTTGCTATGGGTTCGGTGAGGTGGCAAGTGCTGGTGCTGGTGCGAAGGCTAGTGGTCAGGGTGAGGTTACATTCTGTCGAAATACTCCAAGACTGTGAATAGCTTCGCTTTTGCGACCCCCACCAGAAGGATGGGGTCTGCACCAAAGTTCCTTGTACACTCGCCAAGAAAGGCACAGAATCTTGGGTCTGGCGAGTTTCTCACAGCGTTTGCGCCCAACTTGGGAAATTCCAATGGCTTGCATGTCTAGTTCTGGCTCACGCCGTCCCGAAACATCACCCCTCGCCGTGTTGAGCTAGGCCGGTTCTTTCCTCTGTCGTCCGGATCATTGAAAACCTGATGTCCATAGCTCTCTAGAAAAGTCGGCAGATATGCGTAGAAGCTCTGACCCAAGGCAGAATTCCCACTTTCGAGGGGTTTCTATACTATACTAGCTCGAAATGCAGCGTCTAAGCAACGCCCCCGGCTCCGGGTATGAGAGCGATATAGGCGCTAGAAGAAGACCCAAGCAGAGCCTCCTGTCGCTTTTGCGTCTGTCAGACCAGGCAAGTTGCTGTCAGAACACCGATCAGCCATCTGGATTCCGATCTTGTCGAGCCTGTCGTGCCCACTTCGGCCGTCCCTGATGGAAGTTTTCGCGAAACTAGCCCCCGGGGGGTCCCGCCTGCGCTGGTGCTGCCTTGTCTATCGCATGGAACCCCGTTTTCCCACTCTCGGCCGTGAACCGAAAGCTCTCTCTCCCCTGTACTGAGTAGAAGAGAGGCAATTGCGAGCTTGTGAGAGAGTCTTTGGCATTCTATCCGAGATCATCAGATGTCTCCAAAACGGTTCTCTTCCGAAGAACCGAATGCGTTAATGCCGGTTCTTGGAACGGGGAAGAACCGGGAAGTGCGAAGAAATGGTTCGATGAATGCAGCTGACAGGCTAACTCGTCGTGATTGTCAACTCTCATCAAAGAGCCGTATCATGGCGGCCCATATCGGCCGGGCACCCAGTCTCTCGGCGGGCGTCGAACACATGTCGCGAGCTCCGGAGACTTGGGGCAGGATATGAATTGCACCGGCCGGGACCCCTCCCCATCCCACTTTGTCCGGTGGATCATCTTCAATCAATGATGTTCGGACCCTCACGATGTTTTCAATATCCCAAGCTTTTTTCTATCGCTTTCGGAGGAAATGCTCCCCGAACCCCTGGCCTATTACTTTCAGCATTGAGTTTGATAGACAACGATTATGATCCGCGCTATCCGGTGATAATGTGAACTCCGCGTACTGTTGTACGGATACTGAACTACAACATTCCGTCCGCTTCCGTTGCCGTGTCGAAACGAGGCAGTGACGGATCAGCTATGCAAACGAACGAGAAACACCGTCCCATAACGTGTTGACAAGCTCACGCCAAGATCCTGAGAGGCTGACAACGACGAAGTCTTCTCTGCAATCTTGTCGCTGACCGGAAGCTACCTGTACCCCGCATCGTTGCAACATCACCATCAAGCTCTCTTACTCGACCGAAAGATGAGGCGGCGTAAGCTCCGAGACTACTGCCTCCAACCAATTGACAATGAATACCGAAGTTGCCTATGTGAATTCGCCGAAGACGCACCGGGCTACATTCGCAGTACCTGAAGGGTTCTTTCGTTACAGATACTACACAACACTACATGTAGACTACACTTCACTAAGTACGGGTGATGTCCAGAGCTTACGCGCACGTCAATCGAACCTCTGGGCGTTGACAGGACGATTCACCGACTTTAGAGTTCCCCGCCGTGCCTTTCGCTCACTTCGCCAACGCGAAAAAGTGTTCCTTCGCTTCCGCCGGATAGGGTGTGATGATGGATACCTGGGATCCCCTCCGCGGCACTCCCTAGCAAGCTTCTCGCAAGCTCTTAGGCCACAGCACTTCAGCCCATGAGGCGTCTCGCAGTTTCACGACGGGGACCATCGACGTCCAACGCATGCCGGCAGAGCAGATCTCCCAGATACACGAGATGAATTCATTGGCTATCCCGCCGTCCATCTCCCGGGGTACACAAATCTAGACCGATTCTCAGCCCCCCCAAGGCTATCACAGCCCATGCGTCGTCCCATCACCACTTCAAAAGGCACCCATCCCGTCGGGCCAATCTCACATGTTTCCCTCCTCTCACGTAAGGTCGGGTAGGAGAAACCCAAAAGTTCCGGACCCGTCTATCCTCCCCCGCAAAGTCAAACCCGCGCCCGTCTCACATCAGGATTAACAACTTCGCCTCCCTCGCGCCTCAGCGAGCGCACACCAGTTTTAGAGGCCGCCACGGCACCTCGTCTAGGCCCGTCAGCCACGCGGCCCCCGCAATGCGGTCGCCATGCCCGTCCAGCGGAAGGCTGACGGCGACTTTGTGGGCCAGCGCTTCCGAGACCCGCCGGAAGACGTTGCCGGTCACGGATAACCAGTATCGTTCGTAGTAGATGTCACTGTCCAGCCAGAGATTGACAGTCATCATCTGTGGAGTGTCGAGGAGCCTCAGGATCGCGCTCCATGATTCTACCCACTGCTCGAACGTGCTCCCTTGGTCTGCCTGGCGCCTGAAAGAGAGGTTGATGCGCCGGAGTGGGTGACTGATGGACGTCTTCCATCGGACGCCGAAGAGGTTCCGTGCTAGGTTGATGTCGGTGATGGTGAATTCGGTAGACCTGTAGATTGATGAGCAACATTCGGCATATCTATATGCTTTTATGTAAGTGACTGTAATAATGTGTGGGGGTTTGGGAAGCCCTCTCCATACTCTCAAGTGGGAAGTTCAACTTACAATGTCTTACAGGTCAGCATCATGGGCAGATACGGCGAAGAAGCGCCGACCGAGACTCCGTGACCTATTCGGCGCCGCGCAATATGTCGCCATATCTCTCTTTCATCCCTCGCCTCTTGACATTTCCAGTGATCACACCACGCTGACATCTCTCGCTTGTACCAAAGCGATACTGACCCTCTGGCATCAGAATCAGAGCCCATCCAAGTAAATTCCCAGGCGTCATCTCCCTCAACGATGGTAGACTCGAGTCTTTCAAGTAAGCACCTGGAATGCCCGAAGCCGGCTTCAGTCAAGATGATGTGCAGACCAAAGCCAGACATACGCCATAGTTCTTGATATACGATCTCTCAGATCTCTTTTGGAAGCCTGCCCAGTAAACCCAGACTTGATCGGCCAACAAGGGATTGCCTGTGTAAGTTGTGATTGTGATGGTGAGATACGTCGCCCAATAGGTCTTCGACGGAAGCGCGACATATCTCGTCGGGCGCCACGAGGGTCTCTGAGGAATCGCTGTTGGTGAAAACATGTAGCTTGGGAACGGCCGCACTTGAAGACATTCTGGCTTTGATATCAGATCGAACGTAGGATGTTTTACTCTTGAGCTTTCTAGCCAGGGTGATTGGGCTTGCGATTGAGCGAGCGCCAGTATGACCGGGCTGATGGACCTGATCACTCGTCTCGGGAGGGAGCGAATCGAAAACGGAAGACTTAGTGAAGGAAGAAGGAAGAAGGAAGAAGGAACCAGGTCGATGGTGGAAATTTAAAATGAGAAGACTCTAGAGATATGAGACTGTTTGTTACAACCTTGGAAGACTAACAAACGGTCATGAACCAACATTCAATCCCGCCAACCAGACATGCAGAGGAGCAAAAACGGTCTCTACCAATTTATTTATGAGATTAAGCCAACCAATAGCTGCTTCGTCAATGCCGCATCCAGAAGCGGGAATAATGTTTGCTTAAAATGGGCTATGCTTGATATGTCATAGGTATCAAGACAAGGCATTGTAATTATGATGAGTTTCAATTCAAAGACCGTATGTGGGTATTGTGGTCAGAGCTAATCGACAAAATTCCGTTGCAATCTAACGCCAGTAATCCAAGGACAGCATCAAAACGCTGCGTTCCCCCGTTCAAGTGCAAGTATAGAGGCTGCCAACAAGGTGCAAGCTCTTCCGGCCTCGCAGAGTCGATGTTTGTTGTTGATGCGGTATTTACTTCTGCTCAGGCTTGGTCTTGCCAGCACCGCCGCCAAACAGGCCACCGACGAAGCCGCCAGCGCCCTTGACGCCCTCAGTGGTCTTGCCAGCAACGGTCTTGCTGCCCTCGGCCACACCGCTGCCCGCCTGGTTCAGCGCACCCGAGCCGGGGACAGCGGTGGGCACGTAGCCGCCCTCGTCATCCTTGCCTTGGCGCTCGGCGCGGTTGACACCCTCCTTGGAGACCATATCGCCAACGGGCTGGAGGAGACCGCCCTGGCCGACCTGGCCGGCAGCGAGGTTGTGCACGCCGTCTTGGAGAGTGTCGACTTGCTCGACGCCAGTGACCTTGCTCTTGTCGAGGGTATCTGAACACGAACACGTTAGCACGGATTCTTAACGGCTACTCACTAGCCCAGGTACTAGTGTGATGGGAGAGGTTCGTGAAGGCGTTGGTGGCTTACCCTTAGTCGCGTAGCTGGCCTTGTTGTCCTTGGTGAACCATCTCAGGTAGACGTCCTCGAGCCATGGAACCCACTTCTCGTACTGGGTGTTGTATGTTTGTTTTGCCCACTCTGCCATTATGAAGGATTCTGATAAAGAGTACTAAGAGATGTGGTAATATTGGCTGTTTGTATGATGATGGAAAGTACAATCAAGTATGCAATAAGATCAACGAGATGAACACCATAAACGGACGGGAAACACGACGTGGACCATCAGCCTGATATACGTCCATCCAAAAGGCCCAGCCGAGCCCAAGCACCAGCACCACCAGCAGCTTTCTCGCACACACTTTCATCATCAGAGTCGTCACTCGCTCATCCCTTCTCCTACTTTACTACGCATGTGCGTACGTGTGGCTGAAGATGCCCATGGATACGTCATACGGGTCCGTGATGGAGGCGTCGAGGCGCGATGCCATAGGCTGCCGTGCTTCGAGGTGCTGTCAGGCAGCCGGGGAGGACCCCCGTCGAGGACCCCTGCGCAGCGGCATCATCAAGCGCAATGACCAAATCCTGGAAGTTGGCAGCCACATCAAGAGTGGTGTGAAAGATGCGCCACGCGGGGGGGGGGGGGGGGGGGCCCGGGTGGGGGGGGGGGGGGGGGGAGAAAAAAAAAAGACAAACGGGGGGGGGGAGGCAAAGGGAGGGGGGGGGGGAGGGGGGGGGGGGGGGGGGGGGGGGGGGGGGAGTCCTCCTGGCTAGCTTTGACCACTCAGCGCAAGCGAGCTGCTCTCTTGTTGGCTTTGGGTTTCAGATTACGCCTTGGGGAATGAGTGGAGGGAAAATGCCTCTCTGGCCGAGCTAGAGTCATCTTCTCACAGCCTTCGAGTTGGTTGGTTTCGTGATGGAGCACGTGGGGAGAGAGACCAGCGGGAGAGAGATGGTGGGATGGGACGTGGTATGCAAGTGGGCGAAAAGAAATAAAGATAATGGGAAGAGACAGGCCCAGATCGAGATTGCGGGTTGCGACGTCATCCCGCCGCTCTATGGGGCCATCTCCGATGAGAGTGGAGACAGCGAACCGGGCTGCAACGGCCTGGTGGGTCCCGGCGTTCTCCGGGCCGTGATGGTCGTTCAAGATCACGATGCGGCACCGCTGGGAATGAAGTACGTGCCTATCACCTCATGCGAGAAATTATTACTTGAGCATTATGAAAAACCGGGGTGGTTTCTCTACAGAAAACCCCCGGCTAAGTATTTGACTGTTGAAATAACCATGACTTTAAGCTCATAGTCAAGCCCCTACTTTGGTTTGATGCCCTGCATCGTCTGGATGGTGGCTGATCTATGTGAAGCTTCCAAGGAGACCTCATTATCCTTCCAATATTGAATTTGAGCTCGAGCTTTCCAAGGCGTATTGTGCCTATATCTGGGTAGCATTGTTCGACACGCATGAGATCGCCGGGGTTGCATCCAGCTCACGGACTTCCATAAGTGCCGTTGCGTTTGATCTGTCTCGAGAGTGTGGTACGTAGAAATGTACCTGTTGAGGTGTAGCTGAGATTGGCGACGACTGATGCTGTTCGAGCTCCGGAGTAGGACTAGTAATTCCCAGCTCCGATACAGCATTGCCGTTGAGTTCTGGGAATCCTGGTCCGGCAGGCATACGCTGGGGTTCCGCAGCTACTACAACGCGATGATAAGAACTTGCCTGTCTCAAAACGGTTCGACCAGTACGGAACCATTTTGCGGGAGTGAACCACTCGCCAACAGTCACACTTCGCCCTGGGACTCGAGTCGCAGATCGTCTTTGGAGCTTGGTAGGCCGGCGTCTCTCCTCGAGCACACCGTCGGATTGAGGCATCCGCCAATTTCTTATCCATGCCCACCTTTCTATATGCCTTGCCGCTGGAAGCATTGCAGGGCGTTCCAGTTCGGTTGCACTCCAGGTCTCTCGGTTCAAATGCAGAGGCAGTCTGGTATCTCGGGTGCTTTGTCGGCGAGAATCGCATGGCAGTGATAGCTCGGAAACGGCGCCAAGACCACGCTCTGGCCTAGCTATTGACCTGTTCAACCCCATGGCACTGAATGAACGAGCGATTCGACCATACACAGGAGAACTCTCAGGTGTGGTATTAGGTGAAGACGCTGTTGTCGCAGGGCTTGTCGGGATTGTTTCCGTCGGCGAACTCTCATCGACTGTGTGGCCTTCGATGGTGCACGATCTCGAACGTGCGACTACTATTTTGCTCGTATCAACTTCGAGCCGACGGTGATTTGCCATGTTGAGTCGTAGATTCGAGGGCAGATGGTTGATGGTTCCCCAGCCATCCCATCGGACTTGTGACACCTCCTGTTCAGATGGTGAGCTCGTGGTGGCATCCTGCTCACTGGGCTGTCCTATCGGAGAGTCTGGTAGAACCACACAGGCTGGATCGAGGGTATACGGGCCCAGAGCCGCAGTGAGAAAGTCAGAGTGATTTTGAAGGAAATCCGCAACATTGGCCGGATGCCGGTACTCGAATCCCGGTGATAGCCTGCGTCGAAAGACTTCTGCGCTGAGGTAGTCGCTAGTCATGTCGTACGTCGTAGCCAACAACCCTAAACTATTGTTCAAGTCTTGCATGATAACATCGGTCTTGCGTAGCTTGGATAATCGTGCGTGTCCCCTGAGTGCTTGCTTGCAGGTGTCAAGAGCTATGTCAAAGGAATACTCAGACAAGTACGCAAGTGCCAGAGCATGCAATAAGTTGCACACCACACTATCCCTGCTGGACTTGGAAGAGGCCAAGTCCATAACGACAGGTTCAGCCAACTTCCAGTTGCCCTGGAAGAAGTAACAAATGGCAAGCTGGACCTTGAGGCTGCGCATCGAGATGTAGCTACTCTGGCAGTACTCCTCCTTGTCTGCGGTAGCTTTCTCGCATCGTGCGAGAGCTTTCTCCAACAGGTCACCAGCTTTGGTGAAGTCTCGAGCCTTGATGCTCTCAATCGCAATCTGGCGAATGCAGAGAATGTATTCCCTACTGAACGCAGCTTCGTCATCATCATCATCATCATCTTCATCTTCTTCTTCTGGTTTGTCGTCTCCACTAGCAGCAACTTCCAGACTTTTTAGTTCATCCCCGTCATCTGGAGCTGGAGGATTGCTTTTGACTGGCGAAAAACAAGTTTCTGGAGGTGACGGGTTGTGGAACGAAGTATTTACTTGCGGAAGCAACTGTGGAGTCATGGATCCGTTTCGAGTTCGACCGTCGACGATGAATCGCTCTATTCTTTCTCGCTGGAACGATGAAAGATGACCTGGCCCACTGAAACCGGCGGATGACGAGGGTTTCCAGGTTCTTTCGCTGCGGTCTCCCCGGGATGTGCCGGCAGATGAGCTTGCAGTAGAGTAAAAGCCATCGGCCGCTTTCGCCAGAGCTTTCAGGTTTCTAGAAAGTCTTGCGTCAGATAGGCGACTGAAGCTGTGCGTAAACACTTCGGATGGCTTCGCCGATATTTCATGAGCTCGGTCGATAGACTGCCTCAATCTGAATAGTTCGTCCATGATCAGAGTGTGGGACATTTTGCTTTTGAGAGAAAGCGATCTATGACTTGATGGATTAGCTGACCGGCTTCAGCACAAGGCGACTCTGACTAGGTTTGGGGGCGAAGGGGGGGGGGGGGTATAAATCAACAGATTGACGGAAATACTGACACAGTGATGGTGTGAAATATCGTCTGCAAAGCCCCATTAGACTTGTGAATCTTCTCTTGGAATGCCACTAATTCATTGCCATGGACTGAGAGGTCGAACATGGCTTTGATCTTCCATCCAAGAGCTCGAGAGCCTGCCGCCTTCTTGATCTTCTCGATGAGCATCTTCAAGTCATTCAGGGTAGTCTGGCAGTCTGCAAGCGCGATATCGCTTTGTTGCAGCAGGTCTTCTTCAACCTTTGCAAGGTCGTAGGATCGGCAATCTTTCAAGGCTCCTTCCACTGCTTCCAGCAGATTCGTCAGGTTCTTGAGCTCCTCACAGAGCCTAGTGACCCTGGCATCCACCGTCTTCAGACCATGAATGAAGCCATGCAAGGACTTTGTGAGCTGCGATGTTCGAAATACACCTCGTTAGCCTACATTTTGAAATTAGACTTTAGACTTAAAATTAACTCACGATACCCGATGCCTCGATCAGGGTGATGATCGAAGCTGTGATAGACAGCGGATCCATGTTCACGTTGCAGGAGAGACTGGCAGACGCAAGTTGGCTTGGTGACCCTGTCACTACGAGCAAAAGAATCAAGAATCCATTTCCAGGAAGGATTTACGCTGAGTATATCGATCAGAAACATCATAGGCCTCTTTAATCGTGCGACTCTGGAAAAGTATGCCTTCGACTCTGCCTGAACGCCCTAAGAGGGAGAGTCGTCCCGGGAAATGCAGAGCCGAAAACCATGCAGCCCGCATTGAAATACCTCGCATGCAAGGTGAATGACTCAAATGTCAGTCGTGAAATATTCCATAATCCCAAGGCAGAAACGAAAGGATCTTTGGAAAGGCAATCGGATGCCTCGAACTACACAGCCAATTATCTCTGTTGCAGGCGCCACATAGGGCGACGTAAGGCTAGAAGTGGCGCATCGGACTCTCGCTGCATACTCACTTTGTGTACACGGCCAAGAGTCTTCGGTGTGACGGACGCCGCAAGCCGGCATTCTGACCTGCTGAAGTTACGAGAGCAGCCCTCATATTGCAACCCAGAAGCATTCCTCGCCCCCTGGCTGCTGCTATCGTTGTGTCGCAACACGGCTGAACCGAAGGTCGCGGGCGCATCCTTAGTACTTATAAACCTGCAAGTCTACAAGCACTGCGCATAAGTTTCGGATTACTTATTACACTTGCCAGCCTCAGAACCTGGAAGGATTCTCTTCACGCCTGAGCTGCCTTGGGTGTCCGTCAGAATGGTGGTCACGCCGACCCGGCGAGGCCGACGATGCTTTCGGGCCCGAATAAGCCCCATCCCGTCCTCCTTTCTCTGCCTAGAGTCGCGGAGAAGATCCTTGGCAATGCATTTTCTTACCGAAGTTCGATGAAGATATTCTCTCAAAACGTTCTGTAATCTTTGCCCGCGGCAATATGGCACTTTAATTACAC